TGCAAAATAACCCAATATTCTGAAAACAAAAAAAGCACTGTCTGAATACACATTGTCTTTTTTATATACTTCATGCAAAAGAAATATGTATGTAATTAAACCTGATTCATATGTCTAATTCAAAATACATTTTTAATATTAGACCCATCCCTTTGTTAGTCAATGAAACACAAAAGCTGTGTGGGTTTTAAGTATGAAAAAACTATACATACTGGTTATCCCTGAAAAAATTTGTTCAAAAAAAATGTTAATTCTGACATTTCCTTTTAAACGTTCTCCCCTGAAAGACTGTATCTAGAATAACACTGACCTAACAGAAATAAGACTATTGACAATGGCTACAGTTTAACAAAGGCGTCTGGATTTTTACCTTCCTTGGTTACTGCACAAAAGCAGCAAATGTAAGTACAGTTGCCCCAGCAGCTGGTAAGTTCTCTCCCATATGCAAAGAAGTTGTGAAACAGCTGGGGAATGCAAGATGCTTTTGAACAAGCTGCTATGTGATCCAAAATAACGCGCTGCCTGGCTGCCTGTTCAGCTGCCTGTTCATCTTCTGTACAATGGAAGCGACAGTCCAGGGCAGGTCTGGCGCATGCCCTGCAGCTGCTTCTTTCTTTGCAGCAGGGACCCAACAAGTGGCTACAAATGGAGTAAGATGCACAAAAGCGGAAACCTTGCTCCCAACCCTTTGCATGCTGTCACACGGTTACGCGTGCAGCTCATTTCCCAGGGTGGGAGAAAGCTGCATTTTATACCCAAATGTAAAACCTCTCTGATGCTTTAAATGGCAACCCCTCCCTGTACTCCAGACCCATGCACTTCTTGGTGACAACCTTCCCAGTTAGGGTGGTGTTTGATGACATTATAGGGTTTCTGGTGCTTTTGCTCATGACCGATTGTTTAAAAGATAAACGCACAAGAAAAATCCACAGCTACACACTAGCAATGTTAAAGAGGTCTTTCCAAAACAACCTGGCATAAAAAAAGGATTTCTCCACTTGTATTTGCTAAGTTTAAAGCTTTTGGGCTTTCTAACATAGGAACTAGCTCTACTGGTTGTTCACTAGTTGTTCAGCCTGAGCATGGCCTTACTTCTTTGTATCAGCTTCCAAGTTACAGTCCAGCCATTTTCAGATCATACATCATTTACCATATTTAAGCAAATACTTTTGAAATGGTATCTCAAACGCTCCTCCCTTCCCCACCAATCTGGTGGCTCACCTTTAAACAGACTCCAGAAAAATATCCTATTTTCCAGAGAAATGTTCCCTCTTGCCAAGACTGGGCCAGCACAAGTTTCAAAGAAGCGGATATTTTTCTTCAGTGTTATAAAGGGCGACTGAATGAGCAAAGAGAATAGCTTCCCTTGCTCCAGTGTGTCTGGTTTTGCGTTTGTTTTTTTCTTTAAGTCCTGTCATCCTAGCCATTAGGATACTGGCTTCAAATTTAAAGGAAAGATAAATGGCTAGAGGACTGACCACAAAATTATACAGTGGTAAAATTAGGAAGAAAGCCCTACAGTTCCGGAGCCCCCTGTAAATTCCTTGGGCAACTAGACAGAATTTTCCATCACTACCAACCCCACCTCCCAACCGCTGATTCCAAAAGAGGAATCACTCACTGCATTGCATGGCAGTATTAACTAAGAAGAATAGCAAGTTCAAGGCAAATATCAATGAACTATTTTACCTCTTTGGAGGAGACAAGGAAAGAGAGAAAGAATCTGTTCTTAAACATCATGGTTATTAACATTTGTTGAATAGCTACCATGTGCTAGACTCTGTGCTACTAAGTACTTTATATAGATTATCAAATTTAACCCTCATAGCTTCAAAGCAGGAGGTGCTATTATTATCCCTGTCTTAGAAGAGGAAAACAAAGTTCAGAGAGGCTGAGCAACTTGCCCAATATTGCAGAGCTATAAATGGTGGAGGTGGCATTTCAAGCCTGCCATTGTGATTTCAGATGCTTGCCCTTAATCATCATGCCTTGCTGTCTCCCCAACTGGCATTGCCCTGGGACGTTCTGAGTCACAGACTGTCATTCCAGAGTTTAAAACCACATCTTTCTTAAAGGCAATGCATTTTAAGAACATTCAAGACAATAACAACAGCCCCTATTACAAACCTGAGCTCAATGATGCATAAATGTGCACAGATAAAATCATGTTGTTGGATGCTGAAAAGGCATTTGAGTTTTAACTCATTAGGCAGTTAATTAAGGTTGGCCATATTTCCAAGGCAGACTTAATGTTACACACATATCCAGCACGGTGGCCAAGTCACACCACTTAAACAGGGGAGGAACTGCAGCTCTTGCAACAGGGAAGGGAAACAGATTCATGCCATGTGGAGCTTCCACCTCAGGCCCACCTGCCTCATGAGACACCGCAAAATGCAGAGGAGAGCTATTTCTGACTCTCTTTGGAGTTGTCAGAAAATTCTAAGGATTTCTGGAAGAAGCCTTAGAAACCTTAAACTTAAAGAGTTGGTTTAGTTTTGGTGCTGGTCCTAACAAAAGTCAGCAAGATGTAGAAAGTCCGCCTAACCCTAATGCCTAACATCACCAAACCCCAACCTGGGCTTATAGCACATACCGTGACTCTTTAATCAGCAATCAATAAACAACTCTTCAGTATCAGCCTTTGCCAAAGACACTGGGAGGAGCAAAGTACTCTTAAGAGCAAGCCAGACTCTTTAAGCTTCAGTTTACTCATCTGTAAAATAAAAATAACCGCCTCGGAGAAGGAGAATGGTGAAGATCCTTCCAAAGTGTGTGTGAAGAGTCTCTCATCCACTAGCCACTTTATAAAAACCAGTTCCTGCCCTTTCCTTACTACAGAAGGGAGTGGAGGCAGATAAGAAAGCATGTGAATTCTATCCATTGATTACTGGGGGGTATGGTTTCACATGGGAGCAGAGTGCCCTGGGTTTTTCTTCAGCACCTCCTCGTCTCACGTCCAGAGCCCCGAACGTCTGGTGCGCGGTGGAGATGTTGCCCAGGCCACTTCAGGGACAAGACTTGTGCACAGGCTGGGTTTGCCTAAGTTCCCACAACCTCCGGGAAAACAAGGAGCCCTCTTTATTTCCCCTGCCACCCTTCTCCCCTATTGCACGAGGAACTTCCTGGTGCAATAAGCTGTCAGACTTCACCAGAGCTGTAATGCCTTCGTCAGAAGCGCTTAACCCCGCACCTGACCCAGACTGCGGCCTGGACTGGAGCCTCCCGGCCGCTCACCCACAGTAATACAATTACCGCCTTCTGGAGCTCGGCTCAGGGTGCCGGCGGTTGCCGGCGGTCCCCGGGGGCCTAAACCACTCCCTTCCGGGAGCCCGCACGCCACCCGAATCTGCAGGGAGGGGCGTGGACTGGCGGGCTGGCCTGGCGCGCCGCGCGGGGACTTCAAACCCGCGCGGGCCCTGCGGAGGCGCGACCCTGGCACCGGAGGAGGGGCGCGGGAGCCACGGCAGCTCTCGCCACTCGCCCGTGCAGTCGGGAGAGGAAACGGGCAGTGTCGCAGTTCTGAACACTCGCGTGCACCCCACCCCCCGGGTCGCCCCCCTTCCCCGCCCCTCCTCCCAGCGTAACGGGCCACGGAGCTAACTTCCCGAAACTCCGCAGAGGGAAATCCTGCCCCGGCCCGCACCTCGGGGCGGGCGGGCGCGCGCCACGGCGCGCTGGGGACGGAAGTGGGTGGGAGCAGTGGCCGCGCCGCGCCTTTGTTACTGCTCCGGGACCTCGCGGGCCGCCGGGAGCACCCCATCGCAGCAGCCGGCAATCGGCCGCCTGCTCCCAGGTTCCCGTCGCCGACCCGGGCAGTACCGCCCAGAGCCAGAGTAAAAGTGGCCCCACCTCCGGCCCCCGAGAACGGCGCGCAGCGGCGCGTCCTAGTGTCTGCCGGCCTTAGTCTACGCTGCCGTTCCCTGCCCTGGGGCCACCGCGCGGAGGGACGTTCCTCACCTTCCTGAGCTTTCCCCAGACCTCTGGGTGGCAGAATCGCCGCTTCCCGGCGGACAGCGGCTTGGCAGCCCCAGCTTCTCAACAGCGCCACGGCCACTCCCTGCCTCCTTTCACAGAGCGAGGATCGGGTCCCCCCTCTCGGGATGATTCACTACGCTCCTTACCTGGAGGCTCGAACAAGTCCCCTCCCCTCCGCCGGCCCGCGCAGCGATCGGGAGCTGGCGCCCTCTGCCGGGCCACCAGCGGGAGCAGCCGCGGGACCGAGCGAGGAGCAGGACAGAGGGTCGGAACCTGGAGCCCACCCGAGCGCAGGACCCCCGCACCCAGCACCGACGGTCATCCCTTCCCGAGCAGTGGCCAGCGCGCCGGGGCCATCCTGGCCGCCGTGCCGGTGCTGAGGCCAGACCCCAGGGGAAGAGGACCAGAGCTGTCCTCGCGCCCCCGGGCCACTGGGCGCGCCCGGAGTCCCCCACTTGAGGGCCAGCCGGTGCAGCCCCGCCCCCAGGGGTGTCCCAAAGAAACCACCATGAATCGCGTCTGCACGTCTAGTTTTAAAACACTGGAAAAGCAGTTTTACTGAGGGAAAACAAAGTTTGTGTCTTGTATCTCAGTAGCCTTCTCCCGCTCGAATTAAAGAGGCGGAGGGGAGGGCGGTGGCCCGTCACACACACACCCTCCCCCGGGTCCTAGGGCCAGGAAGCGGCTTGGGGTGAGCTCCAGGCGTATCCGCAGCCCCGGGCCACCGGCGCTCTTGGGTGCCGGTGGAGCCCTGGGTCTGGCTTGGGGCTGGAGGCCGGGGCCGCCGTGTCACTCACCCGGCCGGGAGGAGTGGCTGTCCGAATGACTCGCGCTTTCGCCAGAGTAAACACACGAGCAGCAGGTTAGCCGATCCCCTCCCCCCCCGACCCCCCCGCCACCGGTCCTGAGTGAAACTTTGCAGGGCGACCAAGAGGAGGGGCAGGGGAAACCTACACGCGAGGGCCCGCGTCCCACCACGGGGCGCCCGCACACTCACACTCCAACTTCACAGCCCCACTCACCCGTTCGGCTCGCCCGCCGCGGTCGCCCACCTGCCGGGCGGGCCCCCCTCCCCCCGCACAAAGTTCCCCGCGGCGACGAAGGTGGCGGTCGCCCCGCAGCGGCGCCGGGCGGGGAGGCGCACACTGGCGCGGGACCTCGGCGACCGCGGCACCGTCCCCACACTAGCTGGCTCTCGGCGAGGGGCCCGGCAGACTCGCCGCCGCAGCCGGAGCAGAGCAAGTTGCGAGGCAGGCCAGGGCCGACCGGGAGCCTCGGTTCCCGAGCGCGGACGCGCGAGTCCCGGCGCGGCAGGCGGGCGCCGGGTATCACTCGTAGGGCCCCCGGGTGTCGGCCGCCGGGCGCTCTGAGTGGCTCGGACGGCGCGCCAGGCCGGCGGGGCGGCGCGACCCACCCCCTCGGCGCGCTCCCGCCCTGGCCCGGCCCGGGGACGCGCGCAAGCGCACACGCCCGGCGGCGCCGGGGCTCCCCGGACTCTCGCTCGCCGCCCTCCATGCCGCCCGGGGCCCGGAGGGGCGCCGCTTACCCTTAGAGACCCGAGCGGCCGCTCTGAGTTTGAGCCGCTCGCGGGATAAAACCCACCAACGCGTGCGAACGTTGCAGTCGGTAGAGCTCTGGGCCAGTTGTCAAGGAGACCGCCCTTGTCGGCCCCGTCACAACTGGGAAGTCTCCCGGCCCCCTCCCCCCGCCCAGAGGCGCATCTGGACAGGGGACCGTGCCCTAGCTCAGTGGTTCTCACACTTGACACTTCAGCCAATCACAGTCCCCCGAGATTTGTTAAAACACGGCTTGTTTTTGCCTCCCCCACCTCCCCCTCTTTCTCCCCTTTCTGATCCTTTTAGTCTAACGAGGGCCCGAGAATTTGCGTTTCTAGGTGATGCTGAGGCGGTTGAGAACATCAGATCAGTTAAAGTTTGTAAAGTAGATGGTAATCTGCAAGGCAGTAGATACATTTATACTTGTTAAATCCACTTGTGTGATTTATCTGTTTCAGTAGCTAGTGTTCACATTGCATTTCGTTCCAACCCCGGCTTCTTTTCCTCCAAACGCTAGACTCTTATTTTTCCTCTTGGGTATGCACTGAGCTTTTGTGTATACCAGCCCCCATCAGAAAAACAAAAGGTGAGTACGTGAGTTTGCTAGGGCCACCATAACAAAGCACCACAGTCTGGCCTAAGCAACAGAAATTTATTTTCTCACAGTTTGGGAGGCTAGAAGCCCAAAATCAAGGTGTCAACGTAATTATTTCTTCTGAGGCCTCTCTCCTTAGCTTGTAGATGGCTATCATCTCTCATAAAGACACCAGTCGTGCTGGATTTTAGGGCCCACCTATATGACCCCATTTTAATTTAATTTCTTTCTTAAAGACCCTATCTCTAAACACAGCCACTTTCTGAGGTGCTGGGAGTTAGGACTTCAACAGATGAATTTTGAGGGGATACAACTCAGCCCGTAACAGGGAGCTTCACTGCCCCTAAGAGGCTAGAACAGAAACTGAGTTCTGCTTTCCCATGCTTGTAGGCTGGCCTGAGGACTCACATACCGGTAACAGAGTGCTGAACTTGATAGCTGGAAGGGCTTAAAACCTAGTAAAGAAACCACACTCTCAACTGAGCATATGGTCCTCTGGAAGACAACACCCAATGTGTGAAATGAATATTGGGAATCTATCAGGAATCAGGGACCCCTACCCAGCAAACATTTCAGAACTAGCCCTTTGCTTTTTGTTAATGACTAGGTACAAGTCACCCTTACCTTTGTCTTGCTTTGTTGGAGCTATGATCTCCACCTGGCACCTGTGTCATCTCCAGAAGGTTCCAGAAGGAAGGACTGTATTCAATAAATATATTAAAGACTCTTCATTCCTCCTGCTAGCTAGAGAAGACAGGAAGGAAGGACAAGGGCTGTCTGCACTGACCCCACACTAACCAGAGTCATGGGAATGACTGATCTCCAGCAAATCAGTAATTGCCCTGAATTTGGAGCCTCGTCCCCAGTCTTCTGATTCTGTCCTACTTCATATCTTTGCCTTGTGGCTTTGTCTAACACCAGGCCCGGCTTCTCCCCAAGCCCCAGATCCAAATGGCTATGGGATCACCATACAGCTCCAAACTCAGTATGTCCATCACTGAACTCTTACCCCACCCCCAACCCTGCCCTCCACCTGCATGCAATCCCCATCTGAATGGATGGCTCAAAGGCCACTCCAGTCATGCCAGCCAGAAACCTGGGAGGCATCTAAGATGTGACCTGCTTGAATCAACTTGCTACTGTGTCCTTAAGGTTCCACAGAGGCTTCCCCTCTTCATTCCCACTGCCATTGCCTCAGCCAAGGCCTTTTGCACGATTTCTCATCTGGTGTTTGACACCAGACTCCTAACGAGACTCTTTTCTCCACAAGGCTTCTTGGCCAGCATCCTCTACACGACTTCTTCAAGCATCTTTCAAAAACAGAAACCTTGTTATCCTCTGCCCTTCTTAAAACCTCTCAATGGATTCCCTTTGTGTTTCAGGAGAAAACTCAAGCTTCTTTGCTCGCCTGCCTCCAGAGGTTCATCTTTGATCATTTTCCCATTGATGCCCTTCCCTGAAGCCCGGAACCACTCATAATGCCCTGCAGATTCAAGAGGTCCCATGCTTTCTGAACACAAATACTTAGGACGTCCTTGGTCTAGAGAGAAGGTGTCATTCACCTCTTTCTGAATTAGGGGCCTCTTGTTTCTCTCACAGCCCCCCATGTGGGTCTCAGGTGTAGCTCTTAGAACACTGGGGCAAGATTACTGGGTCACTTTTCTGTGTCCTCCATTAAACCATGAGCTCCTGGAGGACAAAAACCTCATCCATTTTTTGTATGTTTGAAGTCTTGGAAAAAAAAAAAAAGTTTGCTTTAAGGAATGAATTAATTCTCGGGAATTCAGAAGATCTGGTCAAACTTAACATTTGCTTGCAAATACCTTATCTGAAGCAATCTTCACTTTTCTGACAATATTTGGTGAACACTCTTAAGTCACCCCCTGTTTGAATTATAGATTCATCCTTTAGAATCTTGAATTAACTTCTATGCTTCCTAAATACCCAGAGTTTCCTAGAGTTTTTCAAGCTGCCGGTCAGGAGATCAATTTTGTGGGTAAAGATAAGTATCTTTGTTTTATGAAATCAAATTTGTATTAAAACAATCAAGTGCACCCTACATAGTAAATATTATTTTCATGAAAGTTTTGTTTTGGTTAACTGTATTTGCAAGCTGTGTGCGTGCGTGCGTGTGTGTGTGTGTACGTGTGCAGGGTTATTGTATCATCAAATTTATTCCTTTCTGTGGGTCATGGTCAAAAAACTGGCACAACACTCTCTTAAGCAGCACTGGAGCTGTGCCCACCATAGGACACATTTCTGGAGACGTTAGAGAGGGTGGAGTTAAGCAGAGAACATTTTCTGGAAAGATATTCTGAGCCACTGTCTTAATCCAGGAATTGGCAGAGTGGAGAGTGAAACACAATCCTCCCTCTGCACAAAGTAGGTGCCTTGTAAATGCTTTTATTGACTGGTGCATGCGTGGAGATGGGCAAAACTGTGCAAGATGTGTGTGGGAAGTTCTCTTGGCTGGAGTCTGACAGGGAGTAAGAAGAAATGAGATCAGTGTCACACAGAAGATGGGAGAGGCCTGGTTGGTCGCCAGACATTGCTGGTGTTCCCTGAGGTTTCCAAACATGAGCAAGAGGTACTATGACATGGGATTTCCTAACCCGGTTTCCATCCCAAATGTTCCAAAATCAGAAGTATGTTATTAACTGAGCCTTTGCTGAAATAAAAGTACCACTTTCTCTGTGCTCGAGTTGGAAATATAAGAAGCCCAGAGTGGGGCGCCTGGGTGGCTCAGTTGGTTAAGTGACTGCCTTCGGCTCAGGTCATGATCCTGGAGTTCCGGGATCGAGTCCCGCATCGGGCTCCCTGCTTGGCGGGGAGTCTGCTTCTCCCTCTGACCCTCCTCCCTCTCGTGCTCTCTGTCTCTCATTCTCTCTCTCTCAAATAAATAAATAAAATCTTAAAAAAAAAAAAAGAAGAAGAAGCCCAGAGTGATATTGTGTTCAGTCCAAGAGTCAGATTTTCTCATCTTGATAATCCAGTAGTCTGGAAAGCTTATTGAGAGAGGGACAGAAATGAGATAGGATTATGTAACAAAGAAAAATAACAAGTGGCCCTTATAAAACTATAACCTTGAGAGTTATGCCAAGTATTTCCATCCATTTTGAATGTCTTTAACCAAGGAGCCTAGATCCAGCCCACAAATATTTAGAAGGCAATGTTCTCGCTCTCTGGTCTAAAGTTTAGAATCTGTAAAAGAAGGTTGCCATGTAAATAAAGAATACATATTCCTACTCCCCCTTTTTTTTTTTTCATTGCTTAAGTCATTCTGGCCTGGGCAGAATAGAAGAATAAAAATTTGGGCCAGGGGAAGATAGAAAAGATTTTTGAAAGGAGAGACAAAAAGGGTAGACCAGAGGTAGCTAAAATTATAACAAAAAAGAAATTCTAGAGGACAATTCTCTACTCTCTTGCTTCTAAGTAGAAATACACTTGGCCGTGAATGTTATTATAGCATTATATTTTGAATTCGAAAGATGGACAAAATCTGAAAGAAATCAGACTGTGGCAAACATGAGTTTTAACAAAACCTTAAGATGGGTTCCAAATTCTACTTCTTTGGCTTTGGGGGAAAAAAAACAAAAAAACAAAACAAAACAAAACACAACAGGATGGGTTGGGGAAAAGAAAATGGGGCTTTGAAAAATTCCTGGGGGCTGAAATATTCTTTGATATTATTTATAACACTGGTCATGTCTCAACTCTCCAAACAACTAGATGGATATCAGTTGAATTTTCTCCCTGAAATACAGAGAAGATTCTTTATCTATATTGAATCCCGCCTTCCTTATCCTTTGTAATTTTACCGTTAACAAAGCCATATTTAATACCTTGAAAATTAGCAGTAGTTTGGGTAATTACTAGTTGAGGAGTTTGTGACTGAAGGTTCCAATAAAAATTGAAAATAGAGTGGGGCAGAACTAGCTTAGCAGAACTTGCTCACTTCCTTCAAAGTAGCTGCTCTAGGAGGCCATGTGCTTAGTTCTTTATGCTGTTGTCTCTTTGGACACTGGCAGCTCTTTTTTAAAGATTCAAATTGGTAGTGAACCTTCATCCTTTGCCTACTTGATTTTGCCTCCTCTCTGCCTTGCCTGTCACTTCCTCCTTTTGACCTTCTGTTGGCTGCAGACTGTTTCCCAGTCTAGCATTGAAGTTTCCTTGCTTCTCTAGCCTCTGGAGATTACAGAGCCAGCCCAGTGGGG